AATTAATAAATTGGTTGTGTAACTATGACTAGTGATCCTTTAATAAATGCGTCAAAAATGCCAATTTTTCATTAAGACTATTTAATCTACAAAAATTTCCCCCGATTTAGCATAGTAATTTTCTCTGGTTATTACACGAATCACGAATTAATTGATTAAAAAGTAATTAGTAATTATATTAAGTCTAGTTATCTATTGTTTAATTAATTATCAACACTGCATATTAAATATAGAAAGAATTATTACAGACCCCCGCCAAAAGTCTCCGAACGCTTTTTGGCTCAATGTAAAACTTAAAATTGTAAAGTTTATTAAAAAATGGTTCCTCCCACATTGCCTGTCAGCTATAACAAAAAAAAAGCACAAACTCTGAAGCAAGCTTTGCATCCGCTTGGCAGCTGATTTAACGTTATCCAAGCCAAAATCCGCCAATGACTTCAGATAACGCCAAAGCCTGTCTGCCTCTTCTGAAAATGAAAAGTAAAAATCAGCTTGTTTCTGCCAGTGACGATAGTAATCTAGGAATTGAAAGTCCTTTGATGCTGTGTTTTCGAAGTATGGGTCGGTAAAAACTTGCATATTCACGAAAAAATTTAAAAAATTTATGACGCGATGATAATCTCACGTGGCAAATAAAAAAAAAGGATGCAATATTCGATAGCCTGATCAACGAATGAAATTTGTGAATTTGTTTATTACCAAACTTTGTGTTACTTATGATGCAAAACATCTTAAAGACATTTATAAAATTAAATCGATTTTTAAATAGTTTAGGTTATGCTCTTTTAAAAAAAGTCGGCTTACATTTTTGGATTAGCTTAATTATTTAAAAAGTTATCAGATTCAGACTTATTTCGCAAGGGGCAGATCTAAAATTTGACCAATAAATAGTGATCTGATCCTATTTTTAAACAGTCATCTGGATCCAATCCTAAATTTTTCATGCCAATCTGAATAGCAATCCGGATGTGAAATTTACGGATCCATCCTTAATGTCTATTTAAATTAGGATCTATCCGGATCTATCCCAATCCGAATTTTGACTAGATTATCCGTAATACGTAAATTTTATTGGACAAAAAAATATACCGTAAAAAAACAATTAAAATTTATTTACAAACTTTACATTAAGTTGTTAACATGAAAAAAAAATTAATAATTTAACATTCCTCCTCTTCGTCCCACTCTTTTGCAAAAACTTCCATTGCACGAATATTCCTTTTTAAAAATAACATCTGACCCACTAAACCTGTACCTATACGATTTCTTTTTGCTGAAATTAGTGAACCAGCATAAGAAAATAGTCTTTCGCTTGACACAGATGTTGCTGGAATTCCAAGGTATTTGCATGCAATTTGTGATAAATTTGGAAAAAGTTTTGCACAAACTTGCCACCAATCTAACGGATCTTCTGTTTTCAATGCAGTTAGCATTGATAAATAATTATTGACTTCATCAATGATTATAGGCGTACATGTTTTTTTATGATTCTTACTTTGACGATGCTGACGATATTTTTTTTGTGAACGCAATGAAGATTTTGCATTTGGAAAAGGTATGGTTAGACTAGATAGCTCTACTGCTGGCGTTAATTTATTTGAATTATTAGATTCTAACTCATTAAACTCATTACGAAGCTTTTGAATTATTTTATTTCTTTGATCCTCTAGTTCTAGAAAATCCAACTCTTTATAACGTGGATCTAGTAAAGCAGCCATTAATCCTGTATCACTAGGAGTATCCCAATAATAAAGCAATGCATTGTAGATATTGTTCTTTACTTTATGTAAAACTCCTTCAGTATTTAATGGATCTTTAATAGAAATCTTCTTTTTGGTAATGTTGCTTATAATTTCTTCATTATCGATTTCTACATCAGCAGCTTCTTCAAATATTGTATCTTCATTTTGATAATCAACGTCATTTGATGGCAAGTCCTCTGAGTGAGTAGCTAAATTAAAAATGAGCACTTTAATAGTTGACATCATTTTGCTAAGCGTTACATATGTATTTCCTGAAAAATATTGTGTTTCCTCTTCAAATGGGGTTAAAACATCAACCAATTCATCTAGCAAATCCCATTCTTCTTCGGACAACATAATTTTTTTTAGTTTATTTCTATCTTTCTTATCCTCTCTAATAGCACTTGTATATAAATCAGCTTGGAGTTGAATAGTTGCGTCTTTAAGATAAAACAGTCTATCCCAAGCATAGTAAGAAGAATTTCAACGCGTTTGTACATCTTGTACACAACGCATTACATCCTCATATCCTAATTTACGCTGAACTTCTTCTAATCTTTCTATCTGTTTCTGCGTTGAAAAAAAATTAATTATTCGTTTTGCACGTGCAGCTATAATCTCTACAGGTGCCAATCCTTTTCCAATTGCTAACTGGAGTGTATGCGCAATACAAGGAAGTCTTTGAATTTTTTCACATTGATTTTTTTAATTAAAATAGGAAATGCTGCCTTCATATTTGATCTGTTATCGGTAATGATTGCTGTCACATGTCCATCAAGATCCCAATTTGAAATACATTCATAAAGCAATTCGGCAACAGCATCAGCAGTATAAGGAGAAGGAGCATACTTTATTTCCAACATTACATCTTTAACTTTAAAGTTAGGCGTAATCCATGCTATAGTAACACCAAGATACTATGTTTAGCTCTACTAGACTAAAGATCTGTGGTAAGAGATACTGTTGCAGCAGTTTCACTTAAGATATTTTTTAAATTTTGGTAATTATATTGATAACTTTTAGATATCATTGTCTTAATTTTTTGTTCTCCAGATACTACAAATGAAGGATCAAATTGGGACATTTTTTCTTTATATGCCGGATTTGTAATGGTAAAAAGAGGTTGATTAGTAAGTAACATTCATTTAAGGACAGATTCTTCTCGTTGTTTTTGAATATGTTTAGGATGAGGACGATAAGATCTAGCAAATTCTGTGATTTTTGCATTTCGTAACTAAAAAGAAAATTTTAATTTTAATTAAATATAAATA